TCTCTTACTTTTTCTTTCTCCATCTTACTTCCTCAGGCCCACCCCCACCACTTTCACCCTTTTTTTTGCGTAGAGCTATATTCCATCCCATACCGTTGCCCACTGCCCGGTCCTACTATTATATTAAAGAAAAGACCACAGTTCGCACTGGGTTTTCACGGTCGGCATCCATTTGTTGTAAGTTCCTTGGCCAGTTCGTAGAAACCGAGGAAGGCCAAGGTCGAATTGCCTGTCTGCTTCACACCTGGTACACCAAGTGATTGCGCACGCACATTGGAGTTTGAGTCTGAATAGCCATGGAAGGCTATTCGGACTCGAATTCAGACTTGAGAGTCCAAATAGCCTCCTGCGGCTGTTCTGACCCGAGTCCGAATTTCCGCGGCCATTTAAGAATGATATTGCTCACTTCTCCCCCTACCCTTTTCCCTTTTGCTTCTTTTTTTTTTCACCCCCTCCCCCCCCTCTCTCCACCTTGGCCTGCTTCCATTCTCCCTTGTTTCTTCTAACAACTTTTATTTTTGAATTGTCAAATATTGCGAGGTCTGCCCGCACAAGGGAAGAGGATCGAAGTCGTGTTCAGTGCGCTGAGCGGGGGAGGTCTTGTCGACCGCGGCTGTGCTGTGCCCGCTGTCATCCTCCGTAAACTCTGTTGCTTTTGGACTACTGCTGCATTATTTTTCACCCGAGTATTCTTGTGCCGTTTCCTCTGTAACTTTGAGCGGCCGTAGTCAGTCGTGCCTCTGTGCCAACGGTGGATGATTCAGGGCTCCGTGAACGTAGCCTGCATACTACGTTCACAACGCTGTGTATTTTCATCATGACTCACTTTTTTGCACTCACCGAAATTCCCCTGGCCCCACCCCCCCTCCCCCAAGCCGCCTAGATTTTTTTTTACTCAAGAGGGGTCTTCTCTGATTTTAAAAACTAACTAGTACAAAATACTTCTCTTATTTATGGCGTGTGTAATGTAGTTCAAGTCCCAATACAAAAGATGAGATCAAAATTTCACATAAGACACAATCTAGCTTGTTTCGATAAGGCTAGATATTAATTAAGTTAAAATTTGTGTAAAACAGATTAAAAAATGGACAAGATATAAAGTGCTTGTTCTATCCTGGTGAAATTGTCATTGATTGCCCAGTGTAATAGTTGCTTTCTTTGTTATTTATTACATGACCTGCTTGCTACTTCGCAATTTTTATATAAACAACTGCGTAGAAAATTGTCGTGGACTTTGTCCATAACCTCAAAATGGCCTAAATTTCCTTCTTGTGAAAGAATGACTAAAAAGTGGTGTTGCAAGCGTTCGATACTGATCGGAGAGGGTCCGCCTAAAACCTGAGCGGACTGGAGTGCAAGCACTTGGTTTATAAAATGATTCACTTGCACCATCCGCCACTTTGCCATTACTCACTGCAATAATGCGACAGTGAAAATATCCGTTCCGGTCACTTGATGCAGTTCTGTGACAGGCCCAAAAAGTCTGTTACAGTTACTCTTCCGGCTCTGTGACCATATATAGGGTATTTTGTACTGCAAAGTGTTAAAGATGTTACACATTGTCTTGAATTTGGCATCATATGCTCGTGAGACTGCAATTTGTTGACAGGGAGTGGCTGTGTGACACCTAAGGTCTGATGACAGGCTGGCTGCCTCAGAGCAAGCGCTTGACAGGCATAGGCCTTCAGATTCATACCCTATGACCCCTTGAAAAACGAGCAGATGGGCTGTGGGCGTCAGATGCTCGGGTGATCAAATTAGCCTGTGCTTTAAATGTGCATTTTTTCATTACGGGACTGCATTATTGTGACGTTGTGGTGTCATGAAGGAACAAGTGAGCTTATCTGCACGCACTTCCTAGATGAGGGTCGCTGGCTCAGCTTGTTGCTCATTCATGACATCTCAAACGAGCAGCATCTCAGTAGCGAATAATGAACCTTTGTGTTGTTCTGGTAAATCACTGCCCACCTGCAGTTCGGTGCAAGTGATTGAACTTATTCGCTTATTTATTTGTGGACCCGAGAGCAACAGTGCCAGTATTCTATTTGTTTGTTTCGAAGTGTTGTAGATCTTATGACAATGAATGATTAAAGTGTTGAGAGCCATTGCAGCTAATATAGATAATATATATACATATATATATACACCATTTTGATAATGCACTTTTGTGAGGTTTTGGTCACAATTGCTTCTTACTCTTGTATTACTATCCTGTTCACGGTTTGACAATGGCAGAATAAAGAACATTGGTTCTGCGGCAAGGAGGAGGGTATGAAGGGGAGGTGACAGTTTTGATCAACTGTCAAAGAAACCATAATCATCGCTAAACTGCTTTACATGTGCTAAGGCATTTCCCCTTCTATTGGATATATATAGTAATAGCTCTTTTCCAAGGCTGACCTGATTACTTTCGAGAGGGTTTGATGTTGTCCTGGGTTAAATTGCTTGGAAGTGAAAATAAATTAAAGTCTACACAATGGTAGATGTTGCGTGGTACTTAAATGCCTGGTTATTGTCAGGGCTAGTTTTCTGCTGATATTTGGTCATCTTGCAGTTGTTCAGTTCCAATTTTAAAGCCTCTTTATAAAGTGGGCATGTAGGTTTAAGTTGATTGTTTTTTTAAAATACACAGAAAACCTTTGTGATGTGAGGATTGGAAACCAAAGAAGTCTTTTGCTTTTAAACATTATTAAGTTCATCATCATTTAATTGGTGTTACATTTCATAATGTTACTTGGCATGTCAGCTTCTTTCCACATTTTCAGGCCATTCCATGAAAAAAATGAAACTGCTGTGACACATTAACGTGGAGATGAAGGTCATCTTCTGAAAAAATTCTTAGCAATGATAAAGTCATTCTTTATTTCTCTTTGTTTTAAGTAACATTCCTGTAGCGGAGAAAAATGATAAAAAACAAAACAGCTGTATCACCGTTTTGAATTTGTTTTTTTACAAGTCATCAACCCTGAGGTCATGTGTGTTCTCTGCAGATTCATTTTTCATTGGATGTCCCTTTCCTGTTTGTTTTTTTCGACTCTGAGAGTCTTGACTTGTATTGAATGACAAGTGGAATTATTTATCTACTTTAGTTAAACTGTTTAAAGAATATTTTTAGCTGCGCTTTTGCAACAGTACATGTTTTATATTGTGGTACTGATGGTTGGGTTTTGCTTTGTCATTGGTTATTGTTTTTCTACTGTTTTATGATGTAATCTTTTGCTTTCTTTTTCAGGAGAAACTGCACGGATGAATTTTTTCCAATCCATTACTAGTGCTATGGATATTGCTATGGCTAGTGACCCCTCTGCAGGTATTTAAGTCATTGCTCATTTTGTTTCTTTAGAGAATGTAATCCGAAGTCTGTGGTGCAGTGATTAGGGGCTTTGCTGTCATGTGCTGGAGACTTGAGTTTGGTGCCCGAGTGCGAGGATGTTGTGTTCCTCTCAGCCTGGGTTGGCCCTGACAGGCAGGGTCAGAAGCTTGTCTTTGAAATTGAATTCAATCTAAATTGTATTGATGGGGGCCTTCTGTGTTTACAACGTTACACATACTCCTCACTACATTGAGCCCTTTCAGTTAAATGGGGCCAAGATCTCTTTCTAATGTAAACATCTGAAAACGTGCCTGATAGAAACTGCTGACTAAAATAAGATAACAAGAAAAGTTTTAAATCAAGATAAGAAACTTTGGCTGTTTGATTGAAGTAAAAAATGAGAATCATATCACCTGTCTTTGTTGTCTTTTCACAATGGGTAGGTCAAGTTATGTGAAGTAGAAGAAAGGCTGACACTGATAAATCATAATTGTCCTCAAATAAAGAACATTTTGGCCTTTTTATTTAGGCTGAGATGAATTTCAACCTGTGATTGCCAATGTGTCATTCAGTTCAACCTGTGATTGCCAATGTGTCATTCAGATTTGGCATTGGAAGAAGCAGAAAAAGTAGTCAGTAAATTAAGATGAAAGCTTTTTTTAAATGTTTATTTCTAGACTTCAACTTTTGTCTGCTCTGATCCTTGGAGATTTAAAAAAAAAGAATATTGAGAGGACCCCCCGTCAGAAATCTCACAGAGACTAACACTCGAAGGTAAAGGAAATTATGCAATTGAAAAGAGGTGAAAGAGTTTGAGTTTATTGCAAATGCATACATTTAGAAATTCTGTTGTTGTTTATTTACCTGTACATGTTAATTGTTTTCTTTATCTCTACTGAAGTTTGGGTTGTCTCATAAATTGGTTTGTGGATCAGGCATTTTGTTATAGTACCTTACTTTTTCAGTTGCTATTTTGGTCTTTTAATGAGCAAAATGTGTAGTAAGGGTCTGGCATATTATGTTGGCCTACTCTCAGATGTTCTAATGGTGGGAGAGAAAGAGGACAGGGCAGAATCATCAACTGTGAACAAACTTAATCTTTGGTAACTGAGATACAATTTTTGTACACAGCGTGCAGCACCCAAGTGGACCCTGATGTTGGGAATTTGAGAACCATTTGCAACTGGTTTAAAAAATGTTGCATGGTAAAAAAGTATTCGGCTTCTTCTCATTCTGAGTATTTTTAATTAAGCTTCTCACATTAACGTCTAAATTAAGTGTTAGTCATGGATCATTTTTCCCTTACAGGGATTGATCAAAGTTTTGATCATTCAGAATAGATTTTATAATTCAGAATGATGGCAGCTTTTACTGTTTAGGACAAGAAGCTTAGCTCACTGACCATTACTTTGAGCTAGTGTTCACTCTCACACTTAATTGAAAAATATAAATTCTGGAAATTTCTAGATTAAAATCATGTATTTGTTTACCTAAAACCGTATGAACATATTTCCGTGTAGTGCTCAATGTCCTCTTTGGCATTTAATTTTGTTTACTTTGCATATTACTTGACAGCTGTTGCATACATACATTGGTCCATATGTCCCTTAACTATCATAATGCCTAGCCAGCAGAAAATTAATTCCCTTGACACCTTGAATAATTAAGGTACACATGTAGTTGGAGATTTAGTTAGCTGTCTTTTTTTGTTACCATGAGCTGTAATGCTCACTGGTGTTAATGGATGCTGCATTTCCTTGTCAGAGATTACATTTCTTTTTTTATTCTTCTACACAATTATTGGATTGCCACTTAATTTTAAAAAATGCTACTCCATACTGCTTAACATGTTATGGGACAGCAGCTTGAAGCTATGTCCGTGCCTGTCAACTTTTTTTAATAGCCAGAACTCACTCTGGCCTCCTTTAAGAGACTAGAATTTTTGTACCGCTCCCCTATATACTGTGTGGATTACCAAATCGGGCATTAATAATAACTGTCACTACTTGAGTGATTTCTACCGCCCTATAATTACCGAATCACCCATTTGTGAAAGATATAACCCAGGTTGGCAATCGCTGATCTGTATATTAAAACTAATATATTGTTTATTTGGCATAGGATGGCCAAGGATTTCTAAGAAAAAAAAACACTTTCTGAGAAAAGAGTATATTTACAGAATCTGTAGCTTTTAATAGTAAGTTATATGTTTTCTTGGTTTATGAATTTATTTTATTTTATTTGGGTGAATTTTAAAGATACCACCAACCAGATGAAAGAACGATCTGAGAACAAGAAAATCAAAATTTCTAGACCAGACTTTCTGTTCCCTTTCTTTTCCTTTGTCTGGTCTGTTTCCTCTCCAAATAATGTATAATACTCTGGCCCAAATACAGTTAAAATTGTCCAGAGGGCCATTCAGTATGGAAGAGAAAAGTGGTTGTTTGAGACAGTTGCGCACCTTAGACAGTGTAATAATATTTTTTAAATGCAAGGGGGGTAAGTGGGAAATGGTTGTTTGTATGATAGTCTTGGACAAGTGACCGTTAGAGCATGTTCGACTGTATTTTATTTGGGTCTAGACTACTTTCTGTTCCCTTTTGTTCTCCTTTGTCCAGTCTGTTTCCTATCCAACAATACAATAAATAATAACCTTGTCCAAATAATTTCAATTCTTATCTTTTGTTACCTGAAAAGTTAACGAGTTGCTGAGTGTACAGCATGTTCAAAGTCACATAGTGGGGTTAAGGGTATAGGTATGGTAGAGAAAATATCCAAACTGAATACAATTATTAAGACTTTTTTTGTGTGGAAAAATCTTTTCTGCTTTTGATTCAGTCTACTGTATAACAATCACCTGTCCAAGACAATCACCTGTTCGGAGAACCACTTTCCAAACCCCTCCCCTGCCCCCTTTTCCATTTTTATATTATAATGACACTGTCCAGGGGGACCAACTGTCTACGACACATCACTTTTCTCCTTGATAATCTATTGTTCTCTTGGAAAGGTTCAACTGTATTGACAAATGAAATACATTTCAACCTATTTTTTAACCATGACGGGAAATGAAATTTCGATCAGCATGACTTATTTCATAATTTTCCTTGTCCGCAATGCATTTGATAATTACTCAGCTTCCAGTGTTAGTACTACTAATAAATGCGGGTCTTGATTTGCTTGTGAGTAAACGGGTTCAGTTTTTCAGAATATTATGAGGGTTGAGGACATCTGGGTGATGAGCTGCCCGAGGCCTATTTTTGAGCAACTGGGTGAAAAGGCCAAAAAAGTTGTATGTGGTCAAAAATTCAATTCCGTCAGACAACACACCCGTATCCATTTCTTAATAACATATTGAAAGAATTTTATATTTTAGTCAAAACGTTTATTTATTTTTTGTTTTTGCAACATATTGTACATCACCAAAGCTTTAAAATATGCTAGAAATTGGTTCAATATACTAAGGTTAAAGCTGTTTTTCTCCAAACTTTGTTTTTACTCTCTGTGGTACGAAATATGGCATATATCTTTAAAAAGACTACTCAAGATATGTTTTGAAAGTTTAACAATTAAAAAATCAGCATGTTCAGCGTTGAATTTGCTACAAGATTATGCCTTTATTTCAGTACCCAAAATTTCCGACAACTGGGATCTTTCTACTACCACACACGTACATTTATAGGTGGCAGAGCTTATTAACTTTAGATGCAGAATCTGGAGCAACTGGTTTTATTGCCCTGGCTGTGCCTGCTAATTTGGATGTTCGTCAGTGTGTGTGTGTGTATGTGAGTGTGTGAGTATGTGTGTGTGTGTGTATGTGTGTGTGTGTATGTGTGTGTGTGTGTGTGTGTGTGATGTGTGATGTGTGATTGTTTGCCTATGTGTGTGTGTCTCCATATTAGGATGTTGGCGTGTGTGTGTGTGTGTGTGTGTGTGTGTGTGTGTGTGTGTGTGTATGTGTATCATGTGTGTGTGTGAATGTTTGTGTCTGTAAGTGGGGGGGGGGGGGTGTTTGTGATGTGTGATTGTTTGCCTGTGTGTGATGTCAGTGTGTGCACGCATTCATGCGCATGCTCTATCATGTGTGTCTTTGTGCGCTTGTATGTGTGTACATGCTCGTTGTAACTGCTTGTCACTTATCAATTATTTTATTTTCATTTTCAGTTCTCTTTGGAGAAGACGTTGCCTTTGGTGGTGTGTTCCGATGCAGTGTGGGCCTGAAGGATAAATATGGTAGGTATAGTGCTAGTGATTGCAAGGTGGCCACTAGTCTGACCTGTTTTTGTACTGTTCCTTAACTATCATTATGTTTGTTATGTCGCTTCAGTCCAGATCAAAGAAATGGCTTTGATTTAATCCGTGTCCATGTGCTCTCTTAGACTTGAATGAACAAGATAAGTTTCAAAATAAATTTGTCTCATTCTCAAACTCATTATACCCATTTAGTAGGGGGTGGTTTTCTGGTGCCTGGTGTGGTTTGCTCCTTTTTTCCTATCAAACATCTATCGTCCTTGTCTCTCCACGTTCTTTTTTGTGTTTGTTACTCTCTTGTAATACTTCTAATCTTCTGCACTTATATGACCTTATTGTGTTGCAAGTACCGTACAATTCTTACTAAAACTAAACACCTATTTAGTATAAGGACAATTTTTTTTTTCTTATACTATGTAATAGTTTAAGTTGTACAGTGCTCTTCGCTTGATTCTTTTTCTCCGAGAGGAGTAAATCCAATATTCCAGGGCCCTCTACGTATGGTTCGAAATCTTAAAGTGACATAATATGTGTCACTAAATTAGTCATTAAATAAAACAAATGAACCTATTTTGATAGTTCTTCATTTAATAAATGAACTCCTAGTAAAAGAAACTTGTTTTCGGCAATTGCCGAAAAGTATTGTTGCGTGGAAGTCGTAAAGGAATGTGCCTGAGCCGCTGCTGTTGATAAGGAGTTAAGAACCTGATCATTGAGAGACATAAAAAGGGACTTTTAAGCAAGTTTCAAGGGCACAGCTCAGTTCCTGCCTTCTGGCTCCCATTAAAAAAATTCTATAATGAAATAATGACCCATAGATTGTACTGAAACTCGAGGGAGGATGAAGAGGTTTGCTTTTAAAAAGTTTTAAAAAAAATTTATGCGAGTACATGTTTGAGCGTCACAGGAGTGAATTTTTATTATGTGACTTTGTCACTATGATTTGATAGCATATTTAAACAATGAAACGGCCCCATGGCAATGCTGCGTAAGTGAATGGAAATGATAACCGGAATGGGTCAGTATTTGATATTACGATTGGAAGCTTTGACCAGGTGAGATGAGTAGGCGATAATACCAATTGAAAACCATTTACATGATTGACCCGACCAGAGCTCACATGCGTGCCTACAAAAATGTTCTTTGTAAGTCTGCACGGCATGTGTTGATTTTGTCGTTCTCTAGTTTTCACAAATCCCCCTCCTTTCACCCCAATATATGCACAAAATATGGTAAAGCAGCCCAGAAATGCTTATTGCTGATATCGCAAACTAGGTCCATAGGCAGATTTCTTTTTTTAGAAAGAGTTCTAAGGCATGCAGATTATAGAGAAAAACATGGTAAAACCAGGTTCTGAGATGGACAAGATTGTTGTTACACTGAGTTTTCTTACATAGAGACTGTGGACGGCTGTTGGGTGCTCTAATATTGTTTGCTCCTTCTTTCCTATCAAACATCTATTATGTGGGTGGTTGGCGGATGCTCTGGTGTGGTTTGCTTCTTCTTTCCTATCATACATCTATCTATCGTCCTCATCTCCCCTTCTTCTTTTTTATGTTTGTTATTCTCTTGTTGTAATACCTCTAATCTTCTGGCGCTCATATGACCTTATGCAGTTGCGAGCGCCGTAAAACCTCTACTAAAATAAAAACATCTATTATCCTAATCTTCCCTCTTTTTTTTAATGTTTGTTACTCGCTTGTAACACCTCTAATCTTCGGCACTTATATGACCTTATCGTGTTGCGAGTGCCGTAAAAACTCTTACTAAAACTAAATTTCCCTCCTTCTTTTCTTTATATGTTACTCTTGAGTAACACCTGTACTCCTCAACACTTATATATGACCTAAATGTGTTGTAAGTGCTGTTATTATTATACTAATTGACCATGAACTACTACTGTGGGACCTTTTGTGGTTTGCTCCATTCTTCAAATATCTATGGTCCTTGTCTCTCCTTCTTCATTTCCTTGTTTGTTTCTTTCTCATGGCACCTCCTCTCTTCTACACTTATATATATATATGGCCTGTTTTTGTTGCAAGTGTTGTTAAACTCTTACTAAAACCAAAAAAAGAGTTGGTGGTTGGCAGGTGCTCTGGTTTAGTTTTTATCCTTCTCTCTTTTCAAACATCTATTGTCCTTGTCTGTCCTTTTTTTTGTGTTAGTTACTCTCTTGTAACACATCTAATCTTTGGCATCCAAATGACCTTATTGGGTTTCAAGTGCCGTAGAACTTTTGTTAAAACTAAATCAAAAAAGAAAAATTCCTTAAAACTGCTACTGAATTTTGTTCATGTCTGTTCACACAGGAGCGGAGAGGGTGTTCAACAGCCCGCTCAGTGAGCAGGGAATCGTTGCTTTTGGCATCGGGATTGCGCTCACAGGGTCCACTGCCATCGCTGAGATCCAGTTTGCTGACTACATCTTTCCAGCTTTTGACCAGGTACACTTCTCAGAATTCTACAGTTACAGCGGGTGGTTGGAGGATGCTCTGATGTGGTCTGATTCTTCTTCCCCAGTGTTATGGTCACTATGATCATTCCTTCAGTCTTCTGCTTCCATGGGCAATATGGCACTTTTTGGTGCTGCTTTACAGTAGACAAGTCACTCGCTGATCCATTCTTAGTATTTTGAGGAAAAAAGCATTGGAATCAGTCCAGTTGTTGAGTTTGTCTCTTTATTTCATAGTTACTTGATTGTCAGACTGATTGTAAAAAAAGTAAGTGTATGGGTGGGGGATCTGCAGCTGGATTCTTTCTAGCAGCTGCTCAACAAGTTCATGTAACGTTTAGGGCTAGTTTGGTTGTTATGGTAGCGGCTTTCCTAATAGATGTTCAATAGAAGAAGATCTGATGATACAGCTGGCCAGTCTATCTTAGAACGTTAACGCCATTGTTCTGAAGTTATTCAGTTGAGCCTTGCGATGATGTGGCTGGAGTATAGGCCTGGTTGTTAGCCTGTAGGGCCTCAAGTTTATCTCCTGTTGAAGGTTCCTCACAGTTCTCTCAGAGATTGGTCTTAATAAAGAGATATTACATGTGGCTAGGGATACAGTGCACAATCTAATCTAGAGGCGAACGAGATGTATGTGTTCGTCTTATCTTTGCTTTGTAATTCGAGGCCTGTCACTTCTAGGTTAATAATTTGTCGTTCCAGAGGCCCTGACACGTGCCAACAAATGTCCAATGCTGTTTCTGTGGACGTTGAGCCACATCTCTTTCCTAACGCTCTCTAACTATCATTTTCAGATGCATGTGGCATGTTTTGATTTAAAAAATTGCCAAATTGCAGTATTTTGTTTTTCGACACAAAGAGACTTAAGGGGGGCTACACCCCCAAAATCAAAATTCTGCTCAAAATCATGGAATTTGAGTTGTAGGCATTTTTAGCTCCCTCAGCCTCTCCTACAACTATTTCATGGCATAAGAACCCCCAAAAACCATATTTTTTCCCGTACCGGGCATGTTTGTAACCGCCATTTCCTCATAAAGTCAGTATTTTATTTTTCTTTATCAGCCGTTTTCTCAAAATGCGACTTTCCTCTATACTTTTTTGAATAACTCCACCATTTTTCACCCAATCTTCATGAAATTTTCTCAGAATGAAGAGAAGAGGTAATACAAAAAATTTGTCTGTTGAATTTTTGATATATGGAATAGATTTTTGTTGGTGGTGTCTGGAGTGTGGATTTTCAAGGATTTTTCGCAAACTTGAATGCTACCTCAGGAAAAAATTCATAAAAAATTTTCTAATTCGATTAAGAAAAAAACAACAGACAAACTTTTAGATCTAATGTTTGTGAACACGCATGCAAAAAAACAATCAATTTCCATAAGCGATAAGTGCGGTATTCATTACGTAAGACATGTCAATAAAATCCAATATGGCGGCGTATCCATGGAAACGAAACTTTTTTCTCAAATTTGATTGCCGATTTTAAGACTCCTTACTATGCTTGTTATTTGTGTTAAATTTGGTAAAATTCGGTCCAGTAATAAGCGAGATAGCCTCCAGGTGTAGCCCCCCCCCCCTTAAAGGAAGTGAATCGTGCAATCAAATTTTGAACACTTGTATTAAAAAGTCGAATTATGGGGCAGTTAAATGATTTGAAAAACATGGAGCTGTCTCCCTTGACGAGGGTTAATTTTTTGCTGAAACTCATCTAACTACTCGCTTCAGTCTCCGTGCAAAATTTGGTGACTTTTGGCTTTTTATTAATTAAGTTGTCACTATTTAAAGGTTGCACACTTTCTTTTTCTCTATGAGTATATAGGTTGTATTGTGCTTATGCCCACTCAACAGTAAGCTCAATGCGCTTTACAATCTATATTATTATCCTAGCAGACCCTAGAAAACTCAGAAACACTCTTGGCTTCCTGGAAAGCATACAGTGCAAGCTGCTGATTAAGTACTCCAACGCTAACAACTAACAAGGTCTTTCGCTCTCCATAGCCGGCTACCCATCTCTACCTGAGTGAAGTGTGGAAAATTTATGTAAAATGCCTTTTCCAGGTACACAACATCAAGCCCCTGATGGGGTACAAACCCACGACCTTTCAGTTGTAAGCTGAACAACCCTAAACACTAGCTCACTGATTGAAATTAAATGAATGACACTCCGAATTATTCATAGAGATGACTTCTCTGTCTGTGAAATTGTGTCATGCACGCTATGCCATTGTGTGGGTTAGGAAAAAGGATCATTCTCTTACTGAAGTAATAGTATGTCTTTATTTGTGGCCTGACACCTGATGTGAAGGTGACACTTTTCCCTTCCTCTTTGTCTGTCATATCTGTCTGATTTAACACATTTGTTACTCTAAATGCTCTCCTTGTCTGTGCCAGCTGAGGAGTGAGGCTGCCATGTACCGCTACCGCTCGGGTGACCTGTACGACTGCGGCAAACTGACTGTGAGAGCTCCCTGCAGTGCCGTTGGACACGGGGCCCTGTACCACTCTCAGAGTGTCGAGTCTTTCTTCGCACATTGCTCAGGACTTAAGGTAGGACCTTCATTCGGAATTTACAACATACTTCTTTCTTTCGGCTGCTCAGTGTAAGGTTCTGTCTTACATCACTTTTCAAAATGGTGTATGATGGAGTCTTTTTACTAAGTAGTTAATTTGACTATGGTCATGCTGGCTGTATCTGACCTGTGTAGTGTTAGCGCTTTTTTGTCAAGATGAAGAAGATGGAAGTTGGAAAGTTTGGAAAAAATAAGATTTAGCCAACTGTTGAAAAACTATCACTTTTGGATCATTCAAACCATATATTCATCTTCACCTATTTACTGGAATTGATTTTTGTGTTCTGGTTGAGCAAATACTGTCTCAATGAGTTAATTATATGGAGAACAGTCACTTTTATCTTCATCTGAAAGAGGGAAATTACAAAGGTTGATGTAAACACATTGATTACCTCCCTGAATAGTTCCCCAAGGGTCTGATGTCTTTTGCTTTGATGGGAAAGGTGAAAGATAGTTTTGGGCACACTTACAGTGATAATTTCAGATATTTTTGGGAGTAAAGTTAGAAGGCTCTTGCGTGGAGTTCCACAGGATATTTTTAGCTATGGGCTCACACATTTCCTCTGAATTGTTAATGGTTCTCAAGCAAGTTTATTTGTTGATGTAGTGTTTTAGAAGCTTGCTCTCAGATAGGCAAGTGGGTGGTTGGAGGGAGCCACTTCTAAGTCTCTCTTATTTACTTTCCCTCTCGTTTCTGTCTGTTGGTATCACCTTTATCCAGCATGAAATGAAGGTATTTTGTTAATTTGATTCTCTTTGACTAAAAAAGTGGATGGTTGGCAGGTGCTCTGATGTTGTTAGTTAGCCCCTACTTTCCTATAAGACGTCTATCATCATTGTTCACCTCCTCTTATTTGTATGTTATACTCTAGTAACCCCCTTAAACTTAATCTTCTGCACTTAAATGATCTGATTGGTTGCAAGTGCCGTAACACTCTATCAGAAGATTATGATTTTTGAATCTTAACACTAATTGACTTTATCTTGGAGATTTGACTTCTGAAATAACTTTTCAGTTACGAATGCTTGCTTGGGATTTTGCAAACACACGTTTATTTTGCAAACACACGTTTCTGCGGAGATTCTATGATTACTTGGGGGGGGTGTCTTCTGAGTTTGTATTTGAGCTCAAACTGAATGGTATTATTTATTATCACAGTTTTCAACTTCTGCCCTTTTTTCCCCTCTCTTTTGTATACAGAGTGGTGTCTACCTCCCTTTTGATCGTTATTTGATGATGATTATATAAATGACATCAAAGAAATCCATTTTGTTAAATTACGGTAAACCTGTTTTTTTCTTTTAAAGCGGGGGGGGCACAACTTGAAATTGCAATTTTGCAATTTTTGGCAATTTGAAAATAAATAGGCGGAATAGTAAAAAGGGCACTGTTACATTGGACCTTTTGACGCTAGGCGACTCTAATTGCAAATTCAAAATGTCCACGAAAAACGAAATGGGCTCAAGGTGGGGGTAAAAAAAAGCGCGTGGTTTGAAAAAAAGCCAGCGGTCTACAGCATTATAGATAACTCTTACTCGTTTTAATGTGTTGAAGAATTATGTAGGTTATGTCCCTTGCATCAGGAATATTTTTTTTGGGTGCAAAACTGAGAACATTTTGACTCTCTTTGAATGTTGTCAAATCGTTCTGAATGTATTGTTTCCGGGGTTGGGGGGGGGTGGTTGGAAATGTTATGGTTTTTCTTTTTTACATTATATATTTGCTAATAAAACATCGTTTGCTCGTCCGTCGTCCGTGGCGTGTGAGTTGCAAGAGGGCAGTCGTGGCTGATGCTACTTTTTTTCTTTCCTCCGGTCGTCCGGTTATTTCTCCTGTTGGTCCCGGCTGGCATTCACAACAATGTTTCAGTGTGCTCGTCTGTATGTATCTCAGGCTATTGATTGAAGTTATAAATGCGTGTAGCTTTCAGATTTGACTTCACGTGACAGTTTATGATTGAAGTCAGAGGTGGTTGGGGGTGGGTGGTAGGGTAGGCCGGTGCTCTGGTGTGGCCAGTTTACTCCCTGTTTCCTTCTATCAAACATCTATCGTCCTTATCTTCCCCCCCCCCCTTTACTTTTTTTGTTTGTTAAGTTTCTTGTAACTTTTCTAGTCTTCGGCACGTACTTGACCTCCTTGTGTTGCAGGTGCTGTAAAGCTCTTGCTAAAACCCAAATAAAGGTGGGGGTGGGTGTTTTTTTTGTTTTGGGGGGGGGGGTCTTGGAGGATGTTATAACCTCTTGTAAAATCTTGTTTGGTGTAACTAGGCTAGAATGGGGTAGCGATCGGAAACAGGAAAGAGAGGGTGCTCTGTTAGCTCAGTTGCTATTATGTTGGACTGCAGAGCGGTTGGCACTGGTTCGAATCCCAGTCTGGGCATTCTTGAACTCGGGGGCGTTTTGTGGAGTTTTCAAGGCTCTCACTCAACCGATTTTCTTCGGTCCTATCTGAGGTGGAAAATAAAATTGGAGGGCCCTACTCTCAATTAACTTTACAGTATTGATATGAGCCCATTCACCTACCAGTAAAGAGATTAAATGCAAAAGCATTATACTCAACTCAGCGCGATGCTTCTGCGTAGGAATATGTTTTATTTTTTTATTTTCGTTTGACGATATCAACAACGCTTGGCATGTGGTTGGAGAGAGAGAGAGAGAGAGAGAGAGAGAGAGAGAGAGAGAGAGAG